TCTGTTTTTCTCCGACAATTGACACACATATACCCTCAGATTCACCCTAGTCCAGGTTTTTTTTTTTTTTTGTCATTAGCCTTTAGGACAGCTTAGCCTTTAGAAGTTTCTGATTAAACAGAACTTGGGCCTGTCAAGGTTTTTATAGGAAACACTGCAGCTTCCTTCACAATTGAGAGTATGGAGGAAATAAAGGTCAATTTTCAAATGCATATGGGGGTGAATTTCATCCTTGGGTGGAGGCCCGGCACAAGGTCCATGCAGCACTTAAGTCCAGCATAAATTCTATTTTGAGGGTTTAAGTGATCCATAAATCTTTTACGGGTCCCCTGCCCCACAGCAAATTTTACCCACAGAGCTCATATGGGAATCTATATGCCAGAGAAATAGATCATTCAGCATCTTACAATAAAGCAAAATTCTGCTCTCAATTACGCCTGTATAAAGGCTGTGTCACTGCGTGAACTGTCTTTTTACCAGAGTTCTGAGTTCAGCCTCACCTGTGACTACTTCACCTCAGTCCAATGACCATGTGATGGGAGCACGTGATTAGGAACCAGGCCTGCTGGAGCATATAAATGCAACTGAAGACTAATCAGAGGAAAGATGTAAAGGAGTAGTAAGGTTGTGTGAACTGTTTCATGCAGAGAAAACAGGTGGGAGATGCTCTTTAGTTCCCAGGCAGAAGGCTTGCAAAGCACAGCAACCAGCTAGAAAGCCTCAGCAGAGACAGGGCGAGGAATCCTGTACCAAAGGCTGCTAGCCAGTAGGAGAGTGGGTGGAAAACTTGAGCTGTCTTGAGCTTTGTATAAGTCGGACTCCAGAAACAGAGGGTTACTGGGAAAATGCCTGCAGGGTGAAATTTTATTAACTGTAGCGGAAGGGAAACTGAGGAATGGGAGCACCTGAAGCCAGACTGGGTGAGCCCTTCTGAAGCCAGAACAACATCAGTACAGTCAGCTAGCCCTGAAGTTACATGGGAGTCAGTGAATGTAGGAGCAGAATCTGGCCCATCTTGAGTCTGAAAACCCCAGGCCTCTCTTCTCTGGTACCATTTTAAGCTGTAGCGTCGCTCTCGTTCCCTGAATGGAATTGCTTTTGATGTGTACCAGGGAATTAACATATCCTGCTAGGAATAGAAACGTTAAAAACTAAAATAAAAATCCACAAGTGAAATAATTTTATAAAATACCATCTTTACTTTGTTCTTTAATTACACTATAGAATCAGAAGTATAAAACTTAACAGGTAAAATGCAGCCAAATGCACGCAAAAACCAGAAAAAGCAGAAAACTGCTTATACCTCAGAAACAGCCAGTGCTAAATAACAAGACATTGAATGTGGGGGAAAATAATTGCTTCCAGTGTGCAGTGCTGCCTAGTCACTTGTGCGTTAGTTGCTGCTGTGGGATGAAGAAACTCTCGGCCCCGTGAGCACATAACAGAGAGATGAGCAGATGATGAATGGCCAGCCCTATTCAGCTGCT